ACTTCGATAATCTGGGTATGACGGCAAACCGCTCTAGCCATCGCCGGATGAAGAAGCAGAACTTGCGCGAAGCCCGCATTACAGAGAAGTTGGAAAAGCAGCAACGCGATGCGCGCGAAACCAGAGAGAAGCGTAAACAGTACGATCATCTCCAGGCCATCCTTAACCACGGAGCGGAACTGCAAAATGCTGCTGCTCAGCAGCGCACCCGTGCGCAGAAACTGGGTCGGATGATGCTTCAACACCATCAACATATGGAGCGTGAAGAGCAGAGACGTGTCGAGCGTACTGCCAAGCAACGTCTCCAGGCCTTGAAGGCTAACGATGAGGAGACTTACTTGAAACTGCTCGGGCAAGCCAAGGATTCTCGTATCTCTCACCTGTTGAAACAGACCGACAACTTCCTCAAACAGCTTGCTGCCTCCGTGCGGGAGCAACAGCGCAGCCTTGCTGAGCGTTATGGTGAAGAAGACCAGTTCTTCGAGGAGGAGGAAGAGGAGGAAGAAATCGCTTCTGGAAGTGAAGACGAAGGCGATGGCAGAAAGAAAATCGACTACTATGCTGTTGCTCATCGTATCAAGGAAGAAGTCACCGTCCAGCCAAGCATCCTTGTTGGCGGTACTCTGAAAGAGTATCAGGTGAAGGGTCTGCAGTGGATGATCTCACTTTACAACAACAACCTCAATGGTATCCTGGCAGATGAGATGGGTCTTGGAAAAACCATCCAGACCATCAGCTTGATCACCTACATTATTGAGAGAAAGAAGAACAACGGACCTTTCCTCGTCATTGTTCCTCTAAGTACCCTCACCAACTGGAACCTGGAATTCGAGAAATGGGCACCTTCAGTTTCGAGGGTTGTCTATAAGGGGCCCCCCAATGCGCGCAAACAGCAGCAACAACAGATCCGCTGGGGCAATTTCCAGGTCCTTCTGACCACCTACGAATACATCATCAAGGATCGCCCAATCCTGAGCAAGATCAAGTGGACCCATATGATTGTCGATGAAGGTCATCGTATGAAGAACACGCAGTCTAAGTTGAGCAGTACTTTGTCGCAGTACTATACCAGCCGTTACCGTCTGATTCTGACCGGTACTCCCCTGCAAAACAATCTCCCAGAATTGTGGGCCCTGCTCAACTTCGTTTTGCCGAACATCTTCAAATCCGTGAAATCCTTTGACGAGTGGTTCAACACACCGTTCGCCAACACGGGTGGACAAGATCGCATGGAGCTCAGCGAAGAAGAACAGCTGCTCGTTATTCGTCGTTTGCACAAGGTTCTCCGACCTTTCCTGCTCCGACGTCTGAAGAAGGATGTCGAGAAGGACCTGCCCGACAAACAAGAAAGAGTCATCAAGTGTCGGTTCTCTGCTCTGCAAGCTAAGCTTTATAGGCAGCTTGTCACTCACAACAAAATGGCCGTCAGTGATGGCAAGGGTGGCAAGACCGGCATGCGTGGTCTCAGTAACATGTTGATGCAGCTGAGAAAACTTTGTAACCATCCATTTGTTTTCGAGCCTGTTGAAGATCAAATGAACCCTGGACGCGGGACCAACGATCTACTCTGGCGTACAGCCGGTAAATTCGAACTTCTAGACAGAATCTTGCCCAAGTTCCGTGCCACTGGTCACCGTGTCTTGATGTTTTTCCAGATGACTCAGATCATGAACATTATGGAGGATTTCTTGCGCCTTCGTGGCCTGAAATATCTCCGTCTCGATGGTTCTACCAAATCCGATGATCGATCGGATCTTCTGAAGAAATTCAACGCCGAAGGCTCCGAGTACTTCTGCTTCTTGTTGTCAACACGTGCGGGTGGTCTTGGCCTTAATCTTCAGACCGCTGACACCGTCATCATCTTCGATTCCGATTGGAATCCCCATCAGGATCTGCAGGCGCAAGATCGAGCTCATCGTATAGGTCAAAAGAACGAAGTTCGTATCTTGCGTCTCATCAGCTCCAACTCAGTTGAAGAGAAAATTCTAGAACGTGCACAGTTCAAGCTTGATATGGACGGCAAAGTCATTCAAGCAGGAAAATTCGATAACAAGTCAACCAACGAAGAACGTGACGCACTCTTGCGGACACTGCTGGAGACGGCGGAGGCCGCTGATCAAATTGGTGATCAGGAGGAGATGGATGACGATGACCTCAACGATATTATGGCACGATCGGACGACGAACTGATCACGTTCCAGCGTATTGACAAGGAGCGACAAAAGAATACTCCATACGGTCCTGGCCACAAATATCCTCGCCTCATGTGCGAAGAAGAACTGCCAGATATCTATCTCACCGAAGAAAATCCGGTCACAGAAGAAGTTGAGGTTGACTTGGGTGGTCGTGGTGCACGTGAACGCAAGGTGACCCGTTACGACGATGGTCTCACGGAAGAACAATGGCTCATGGCTGTGGATGCCGATGACGATACCATCGAAGATGCGATCGCCAGAAAGGAGGCCAGAGTTGAGCGCCGTCGTATCAACAAGGAGAAGCGCAGCCGGAAGGCAGGTGTTGAATCTTCACCGGAACCGTCGCGGGAGAGCTCGGAAGCCCCTCAACCAAAGAAACGTCGCCGCGGACCTGCTCCCAAGCGCAAGGCAGAGGAGGTTGTGGAAGAAACGCCTCAGCCCAAGCGGAAGAGAGGAAGACAAGCCAAACCCATCGAAACTCTGAGCAGCGAGGATCGCGCAATTCTGCAGCGCATCGTTAACAATGTCTATCAGGCATTGATGGACATGGAGCAGGAGTTGCCAGCCGATTCTTCGGACAGCGAGGACGGGCCCGTGACCCGGTCTATCATCGAACCTTTCATGAAGCCGCCTCCCAAGTCGCAGTACCCTGACTACTACATGATCATTCACAACCCGATCGCTATGGAGATGATCAAAAAGAAGATCAACCGTGAAGAGTACCAGAACCTGAAGGACTTCCGTAATGACATCCACCTTCTGTGTCAGAACGCTCGAACCTACAATGAGGACGGCAGCATCCTATTCCAGGATGCCAACGACATCGAGGTAAGATATTCTGAGACAAGTAAATTGAGGTGGATTGGTGCTAACAGTACACAGGCCAAATGTCTATCCGAACTGAAGAAGGAAACCGAAGCTCATCCCCAGTTCGCCAATTATGACGACCTAGGTGGCAATGACCTGCCCGCTGCGGCTTCTGGCACCGACACGCCCGGTCCTGTAGCAACGCCCAAACTGAAGCTGACCTTCAACAGTGGCAACCGGGACAGCATGGGACCGACTGGCGGCAGTGGTGTGAACGAGGATGAATGAACCGCTAATAGACGCTTTGCAGATATAGTGGGCTGATTTCCGATATGTTTTAACGTGTTGCAAAACCTTTGCTTAATTGCACATTACCTTCTATACTGTTTTGATTCTCCTCTTTATTTTCACCCTTCTGTGTTTCTTGACATGCCCTCTTCCACTATTTGGCTCCGTGGATGGCGTTACATGAATTCGGTGGCTGCGGACGGACGACGGTCGATGGCGCAATGCTCTCCAGCTTGAAGACGAGCGATTTCTGATTCTTTTTTTTTTAAACTCTGTCTGTTTCCTGCAGTCACTTACAACGACATGAATTTCATACTTTCCCCGCCAAAATCATTTCTACTGTCAAGGATATCTGGATTGGGAGCCTGGTTGAAGACATGTTTCATTTTCGTTTCTCTTCTCCCCCTTCCTCCCCCCTTTTCCTCCTGCGACTTCTGCAACGGTTGTTTCTGGGGTCGTTGGGGTTGGGGGCAAATGTGGCTAGACCACGCGTCTCTCGGAGGATGATGACCTTGGTTGTAACTTGGATTCTCCGTCCTTTTGTGATTTAGCCATAGTCCATGTAGTCCTTTGTAATGTATGAGTTGTTGTCTGATTGTGGTTCGTCATAGGATAGGATTTGGTCATTCTACGTAGGAGCCTGCTCTACTGGGAGGGATTGTACTGTACAGGACCCATGTTTAGAGTCGAAAGTCGAATCGATCATTGGGTTCTGAGCCACATATGAAGGGAGGAATAAATCATTGAATCTTCTTCCTTGCACATCCCTGGTGGCGGATCCAGATCCGACCGATCTATGTATAGATAGACCTAGTGCTTCTTCTCCTAGTAGAAGTTTAGCTTGGGTGCTAATGCGGGCTTTGATCGGTCGCTATTCTTCTGGATTGTTCGATTGGGGATTGGAAATGCAAGCTGGCCCCAGCTGCAACACCAGTAGAGTGGTTGGGGGAGTACTGGGATATAGCAGAGGGATGCGTGGGAGAAGGTTATTGGTTCAACTCCGATTGGAACTCTGGAGAGCTACAGTAGTACCATGCATAATATGAATGAGTATGAGGTAGATATGGAGGATATAGACAGTCAGTCTAAACTACAGCCGTTTGTTGTTGTTGCAGCAGAAACTAATAGATTTGCAACGTAGGATAGCCATACCGGACCGTACAGTACACAGGGCATACCTCTTATTACACAATCTGCTTCCGCAGCTATCCGTACTGTATTGTATGTACACCGCATCTGCCGAGAGGGTCACCGATGCACATTCTCACCCGCAAGAAAGGAAAAACTAAGATGAAAGGGTCCAGATATTGCTGGGAAAACTCCTCAGACAGCGAACAATAGTCGTTGATAACGAGGATGCGGATTCTAGACCCAGTTCTGCCGTACTGAAGGACTCCCAGCACCACGTCATCTGGGCTTGAAAGCAGCCCTCGACGTCATGAGCGAAGCATCACGTGATGTGACGCACCGTCATTGGGGAAACCAGCCCGATTTCCATTCCGTAACCGCCAGCTCGTCCTTTTGAATCTCACCTCTTCTTTCCTTTCCTCTTCCCCAGCTCTGCCTGCCAAAACATTCTGCCTACTGATAACGATTCCACTCTTCTCCTTCACAACCTTGTTCGTACCCATCCTCCTCCAACCACCCAAAACCTTTCCAACTTCCAACTTTCCATCTCACAATACCCCCGATCTAATCGTAGTTGTTCAGATTAGCTTGTCCAATTCATTCGGAATGGCTTCTTTCCAGGATCGTGCTCAGCACGCCATCGCCCAGCTCGACAAGGAGGTAAGTGTCGTGTGCGTCGGCTTTGGCCTCAATCCGTGTCTTGCTTTGTGCGAACTGCGATTCTTCACTCTTCATCTCGCTCTCATTTGTGTGGCTGTTGTTTGCTTTGGTGCTTTTGATCCGCGAGGGATGAACCTCGTACCATGTTTTGATATTTCTGAAGCTAACAATATTCCCATTGTGGGAACTCCTCTTCAGCTCTCCAAGTACCCCCTCCTCAACAACCTCGAGCGCCAGTCCTCCGTCCCTAAGGTCTACGTGATCCTCGGCCTGGTTGGTATCTACACCTTCCTCGTCTTCTTCAACATCGCCGGTGAATTCCTCGTCAACCTCGCCGGTTTTGTCATCCCTGGCTACTACTCCCTGAACGCCCTCTTCACCGCCGGTAAGGCCGATGACACGCAGGTACGTTTTGCGATTCTGAATTCCCATTGACGATGATACTGACTTGACAATCGTCTGCAGTGGTTGACGGTATGTCCCCGTGATCGCATTTTCTTATCGCGCTTCAGGCGGCATGGTCCCCAGATTGAGATACTCTCCCTCCGGACCACCGACCTGGGAGCACGTGACGTCTGTTCGTCAGCAGAAACTAATATGTGATTGTGCTATAGTACTGGGTGGTTTATGCTTTCTTCACTGTCCTTGAGAGCGCCGTCAGCGCCCCCTACTGGTTCCGTACGTATCCATTGATCTTCTTCGGGGGGTGGTCATTGCTGAAGTAACACAACGACTAATGTGCGCGGTATAGCCTTCTACTACATCTTCAAGTTCGCCCTTGTCCTCTGGATGGCTCTGCCCCAGACCAAGTATGTCACCCTGTTCACCCGCCCATCGTTGTTTTGATTTGCCTAGCCGACTCTGACTGCCACTTTCTTCTAGCGGCGCTCAAATCGTCTTCCACTCTTTCATTCAGCCCGTGCTCGGCCGCTTCTTCCAGGGTGGTTCCACCTCTGCGAACCTCCGCGCCCAGGCCGATGCTGCCACCAAGGCGCAGTAAATAGACTTTACTTAGAAAGTCGAGCAGCTGGGGGCCGATCTACAGTCTATGGCGACTGCAGATCGAACCTCAGGACACTCGACAGGTCGAGGTCGGAAAAGAAAACCCGAACCAGCCGGTGGATTGTTGGATATGACATCTTCCTTGATATGTTTGGACAATTTACGTTCTTCTGAACTGGATTGAATAAAGATTGAAAAGAGGGATGGTCATCACTGGGGGTTCTTGGGGCTCCTGGTGATGGAGAATACGGAGAGTGAGGGCTGGGCCAATCTTTGTCATGTTACTGTTGTTTTGTCATGAATTGCTTGGGCAGTAGAACGTTTTATGGATGTGATTGATGGATGATGTATGATGGAAGTGGGGAGGGACAGCTACGGGCGGGACTCGTTGGAAGATCGAGTTCCGTGCCGTAGTGGATGATTTAGCTAGGTATATTGGATGCATAATGTCTCTCGGTAATCTGAGCACTGTTGATTGCGTCTTTGATTGGTTTCCTGCTCCCAAGTATATGACATGAAACGTCGAGAGCCAAGACATGGCAAGTCAAAGGGGACTAACATAATCCTAAAGTCGTATAGTACAGTACATCCACAAGGTTAAATAGGTTGGCCCACCGCGAGACGAAAGTCAGATGAGTGATGCTTAAACTTTCGCACATGGCCCAAAAATTCTGGGGGTGCTAGACACCGCCGGGAGTGGAAATGAATAGCTAGATAGAATTCAACAAAATGAAAATGCCCTGGGTATCTGTAGCCCAGCCAATGCAGATGCGAATGCGAATGCAAGCAGACAAGACCGCTGAGGGTGGACTCCCCTCTCTCCCATACTTCCTCTTAATACAGCCCAAACCTATTCTGCCACCCATCTGTGCGCGGGTTGAGGACAATGCGATAAGGGAAGGGGTTGGAGTCGCTGGTCGTGATGGGTGGAATATGATCCTTATCGCGATTGACCACGGCGAGGATCTTCAGTGCGGCCTTCTGCAGCATATTCTCCATTGCTTTGCGGACCTTGGCCCGTTCTAGAATTGGGATGGGTGGTCAGTCATAGGAGTTCGCCAATAACCGGCCTCTTTCTTGCGATCGTGAGACAGGATAAGTATAAGATTGTGGGAGTTTGGGTGGGGGGGAAGAGCCGAGAGGGAATGCCCAAAAAGCGGGGAGAAAGGTCCACAGGCATGGGTCTATATACCATACATACCAGATTCAGTCCGTGGTGTGGCGATAGTCACGTCCAGATTCCAGACCTCCCAGCATACTTCCTCCTCACCTTTGCCTGCGAGGCCGCCGAACCAGATCCCGGAGCGTCGGCGGCGCTTCTCGTAGAATTCCACTGCGATGCGGCCGCGGACGCCGCCCCCGACACTGCCACTACCACCACCGCTGCCGCTGCCGCCGCCGCCGCTACCACCTTCGTAGATGCCGCCGCTGGATGCCGAGTGTTGGCGGACGAGGGAGCTGATGCGCGAGTCGATGAGAGTTTCGAGGTCGACGTCGTTGATGGCGGGGAGCGTGAAGTCTAGAACGTCAAAGGTGGTGGGTCGGATGGAGGGGAAATATCGGTGGAAGAAGATTAGGTTGAGGATGCCTAGAAGTTTTGTGGGGGGGGGTTGTTAGTTATTTGAAGACGTATATACTGGTGGAAGTTTATCTTATGTGTCTAGGAGGTGGACGACGGGAAACTGACCCTTTAAGACGTCTCGAACGGTGGTGGTGTCGGCAAAAATCTCGAGGAAGTACTCCGGGGGCGTTTTGCGGGGCTCCATCTTCCCTAGAAACTCGTTCCGGGGCCCGGACGGCTGGCGCGGGGAGGGGTTGTGTTCGTCGGGTTGGATGATACCGTTCAGATTATCGCTCTCCGATCACCGAGGGCGAAGTACTATATTTCTCCGTGCGGTGCAGTGCAGGGTAGAATGTATGCGATGCGTGGATAGGAGAGGGGGATGATTGGAATCCGGGGTTGTATGTAAGGGCCGCCGGAGGGCGATGACGCTGTCTGTCCGGCTGGACGTTGGGGAGATCGGGGGTTGAATTGGAGGGGAGGGGAGGGGAGGGGGCAATTGTCTTATGATCGCCGGGAAGTCTCACATGGAGCAAGGTTCATGAGGGGTGCATGTTCTGCCAGTAGCAAGATATACTGAGTTTGAATCTGTAAGAAAATGTCATGGAGGATGTAGGGGGAAGATTAGGAGGAGGTGTGATAGTTGTAGTGAGAGTGGGTGCTTTGAAAGAGGGAAGGAGGAGATAATGGAACAGTCAGTTCCAGTCAGTCATCCTTGGTATGTAAAATCATTGTAATCAGCATACCTAATCGATCTTACCCCACGCTGGCGGATTCTCTGCTCCCTCCCTGAACATCGCCTCTCTCCTGAATTTGTTGCTTCTTTTCTTTCTCCTCTACTTTGAGTCGGGTCGATCTTACATGATGCATTCGCTGAACCATGCTATATGAGGACTGCGAACGATGCGCCCTATCTTTGGAGGCTTTGTATGACAATTCAAGGTTGTCTTTCAGGTACGGGACAGGACAGGTCAGCCTGACAGTCCAGGCATGGGTTCTTAGACCGGATAAGCAGCAGCAGCGATGATGCAACCTTTTGAACAGACAATTGAGTCTAATCAGTACTCGTACAGTACATGCTCTGTATCGTACCAAGTAGGTACCTAGTATGCATCTATGTATGTTTAAGTTGCCAATAGGTCAGTCAATTATCTGACAATACTAGTCCCATCTCAGTGAAGATCACACAACCCTGAAGCCAACACAAGCTGTTATCAGATACGCCGAACTGGTTTAGCCGAGGCCGGATTGCCTCTCTCTGTCTCTACTCGCCGACCGTGCCAGCTCTCCCTCCATCCCACCCACCCCCCTTCCCTTTCACGCCTCTTACCATCCTGATCCTTCACTTTTGATTCTTCCCGGTCAAATATCCTCCGCTCTCTTCTATTCTACGCCTACTTCTTACATAGGATGACCTGAGCTTCCCCCCACCTCCCTCAACCATTTCCTGCTGACGACCCCGATCATCGCTTCACCATGATCAGTGCCACTAAGCGCTGGTTCCGGCGCAATCGCAAGGGCCTTGCAATAGGAGCGGGCGTTATCGGAGCGGGCTATCTCGCCGGCCAATATGTACTGGGCAAGATCTCGGAGGCAACCGAGCGTATGGGAAGTGATCGTGTTGCTCGAGAGAAGTATGTGATCTCTCTGCTGATGGATAGCTCGGGCCGTGTTGCGATGTGCTCGTGTGCTCCGAAACGGTCGCTGACAAGCCCTGCCTCGATCTAGCCTACGGAGACGCTTCGAACAGAACCAAACCGACTGTACCTACACTGTCCTAGCACTCTTACCCACTGCCGCGGAGGATATATTGGAGGCATTGCCGGTCGAGGAGTTGACGAAAGAGCTACAAAAGAAGCGCGCGGAGCGGTTAGCTCGCCTCGGCACGGCTGAGGGAACAAGCTCTGATCTGAGCTCAATCTCGCCGAGTATCACAGATGATGATCGCCGAAGTCTCTCCAGCTTCCAAAGCGATGGTTTTGTCCGCGCAAGTCAGCTAGGAGAATCCACACTTGAGGGTGCCGCACCGTCGCCGTCGCCAAAGCGGAACAAGACTCAGTTGTGGAATGAGGTTAAGATCACCTGTAAGTCGCTTTCGGCTGTGCTTTTGATCGAGGTCGGGAACTGACGGTTGCATGGCAGCTATCACTAGGTCTTTTACGCTGATCTACACCCTATCCCTATTGACTATTTTCACTCGTATCCAACTCAACCTTCTTGGTCGTCGAAATTATCTGTCTAGCGTGATTTCTATGGCCACACCCCCCGCGAATGCATCGACGATCAGACTTGAAGACCATGATGATGATGACCTTACACAGACTCTGGGTAATGACTTCGAAACCAACCGGCGGTATCTGGCCTTTAGTTGGTGGCTTCTTCACCGTGGCTGGAAGCAATTGATGGAGGAGGTGCAATCCGCTGTGACGGAAGTTTTCGGGTCGTGCAACCCCAGAGAGGATATTTCGCGAGGCAAGCTGGCAGAACTGACCCTGCAAGTCCGAAGGAAAGTGGAAGGGGATACCGAGGCGGAGCGAAAGTAGGTTTGATTCTTGCCATATGCTTGCTGGCATGTTATTGACCATGTTAGATGCCGGAAGTGGCTATCCTATCTGCTTCCCCCGAGAGAGGAAGAGGATCATCTGCTGGAAGAGTCCGGTGTTCTAGGAGTGACAGAACCCTCGACCTCTCAAACCACTGCGACACTGCGGCACCTGTTGGACGAGACAGCCGACCTCATTGACTCTCCGACATTCACCCGCGTTGTCTTGCTTCTCAACAACGAGTGCTTCGAGACCTTGATCCAACAATGCGCAGCAGACGCTTTCAAGTCATCGCACACGCCTGCCCCTCAGTCGTTCACATCCGTTGCCACGGTCGTCCCTGGGGCAGCCAGCTCGGAACCGAAGACTAAGCTTGCAAATGTGCTGGCCGTATTGGCTCGACAAGCCCATGTGATCGGCAACGGCACTGCTCCTCCCAACTTATACCTTAACGCCATAGAACAAGGAGTTCGGGAGCTGGAAGCTTTTGCGGCCGTCGTGTACAGCTCCAACTTCGATGCTGAGCTGCTCGAGTCTGATGCGAAAACGCGATCGATGAGAGTGCCGGCAGAGGCAAGCTCCGACACGCCCTCTTCCCCGGGCCCTGTCATGGTTGACGTTGACACGGAGGACATTGAGGACCAGGCTGTTCAATCGATGTCGGGTCTGACAGTTGCGGATGACTCAAGCTTTGAGACGGCGTGGGGCAAGGCTGTAGACGATCAGCCCGCAGCGGGACCAATTGCATGAATTGGAGTGATTCCCGCTTTCTACGAAGATGTTGCTCCCTGAATGAACACTTAACGACCTTCCTCTACTATATATACTCGCACGACCGGCGATCAAGCAAATACCACGATTGTATCTATATTCTCCTTGGTATGTCACTAGAACCGGAGATGGCTAGCGGATAGAGGGCGGAATAATCTGGCGCTGAAATTGGGCGAATGTACGATATCGGGAAATCAGTAGCCTGATCACTCTCTTAATTTGGAAAAATCTAGAGCGTCGTAGCCTCAGCCCTGATGCCATCAGAGTATGACTTGCCTAGGAGGGGTGACGTCTGGAATCACATTCATACATAGTACATAGTACAGTACAGAACATACGTAGTAGATTTCATAGAATGCGGGGGAGAAGCGAGTGGAGCCGCCTGGCAGCTGCCTTAGTCATCCGAGTATGGGGAAATCCACTTCGCTAGTCAACTCTTTCTACTTCGAAAGCTGAACTCGGCCATCACTTGATTGACAGACTGACAGACTGGTCTAGAGCCAGTATACTTGCCAAGGGTGAGACTCAAGCTGGAGCATTTCCCCGCTTCAATTGACTTTCCATATCTGAAGTTTGTATATATGGAGAAGGTGCTATATCTGGGTTCATGTCTATAGAATGCTCATCGGGATTGACAAGGCTACCTCCTGCAGCAGTCTCCTGTATTCAAGCTCACATAGTAAATGCCTGAGACTGTAGACCCCAGCCAGTGTAGCATAAAGTCGACCGTCAGGCTGCGATTCCATTTCCGCAGCCAAGCTTCGAGTGACATATCGATCGATCACTATTGAGCGCCGGCTCAGGTGGCTGACTGGATTGGCTGGCACTGTCGGCTCTCCTTGCATCTTTGATACCTGGTGTGCTGCAGTAGTAATAGTAGTAGTTGGGTGTTAACACAGCTGAGCTGACGTTTTCCTTCCCCTCTTCTCCTCCGCTTACTCTCCACAAATTCAATCCGAATTCCCTCATCTCGGACCGCGCTTCTCTGTTCCTCACTGTTGTTGCCCATGAGACGCGATTGTCCTCATATTCACCGAGTAAATCACGCACACGGACCGTCATCCCCAGTTTCCTAACCATCTCTCCTCATCAGTCCTGATATTAAAACAAGCATTACTATAGATCAAGCTCTAAGTCCAGTGTCTACTCCACTTGTCATTCATATCCGGTCTCTGACGCTTGTTCTCAGAGTGAGATCATGCACAATGGGTCGCGACCCAGGTATGTGCTCCCATGTGGTTCATGCACAGCACGATACAGCGATCTAACCACTTCATATACAACATAGCTTCGCAGTCCCCTTGTTTCACCGAGATGAAGACCGAGGAGCAGACCCAGACGTCCGCCGCGGGCCTGCCCCCGCTGACTTCCACGACCGAGCGCAAATTAATGGCCAAGATTGACTGGCATATCGTCCCATGCCTGTGCATCATGTACTTGCTGGCTTTCTTGGATCGGTATATCCCCTACGTCCCGGAAGATAGGTCCGTGATGAGTTCACTGACGGTGGGCGGCTACAGGGTGAATATCAGTAATGCTGCGGTGCTCGGACTGCAGAAGGATCTTAACATTGTCACCGGCACCAAATACAACACTGCATTGACCATCTTCTTCGTGCCTTATGTGCTGTTCGAGATTCCGTCCAACCTGCTGCTCAAGAAGCTGAAGCCGCATGTGTGGTGTGAGTGTCTGGCATTGCGTATAGTTGTGGTGTCGACCATGGCTGATATGTCGTTGATGCTCATAGTGTCCTTGTGCATGTTCGGTTTCGGCCTCGTCATGATTTGTCAAGGGCTGGTTACCAGTTGGGGTGGCTTGGTAACCACGCGCTGGTTTCTGGGTACAATTGCTCTCATGTTCGTTGCTGGTGTGGATGTAGGCTGATACGTAGGTATTAGGGATGTTTGAAACGGGCATGTTCCCTGGGTGTAAGTGCTATCATTGTCGCTGTGCGTACTTGCCACCGTACTAATCTGCGGCTTACGTGCAAGGCTTCTATCTGCTAGGCACGTGGTATAAGCGAAGTGAAGCGCAAAAGCGTTTCAGTTTCTTCTTCGGCTCCACCACCCTGGCGGGTGCCTTTGGTGGCCTCTTAGCTAGTGGTCTCGGAAAGATGGCTGGCCTACGAGGCTACGGCGGCTGGCGATGGGTTTTCATCATCGAAGGTGTTCTCACTTGCGTGGTTTCCTTCGTATGGTACTTCATCATTCCTGGGTTCCCAGAGGATGTCAAATGGATCAATGATGAGGAGCGAAGGTACATCCAGGCAAAGCTTGCTCAGGATGTGGGCAAGGCCGGACACAATGCCCATATCGGTTTCCGAGAGGTGCTGGATGTGTTCAAGGACTGTAAGCGCCGCCTTAATCGTTTCGGTATGGACGCTGACTGCAATATCTAGACAAAATCTTTATTGGCGGCTTTATGTACTTTGGTCAGGTCGTCTCAGCCTACGGTATGTAGTATTGAGCAAGCCCCGGGCAAGCCTCCAACAAGTTCGAAAGAACTTCGCTAACAGTTTCAGGGTATGCCTACTTTGCACCGTCCATCATCAAGACCTATGGATACGGAGGTATAGTGACCTTCCTGGGCTGAAGGACTGACACCATGCATTAACGTATGATGCAGCCATCCAAACGCAGCTGTACTCGATCCCACCATGGGCGGCCGCCTTCGTCTTCTCGATGCTCATTGCAATTTTGTCTGATAAATTCAAGCATCGGTTTGCGTTCACCTTGATTCCGATGTTGGTCACCATGGCAGGATACGGGATCCTCTTGAATGTCCATGGTGTAGCTCATCGGAACGTCCAGTATGGGGCTCTTTTCATGGTCACTTGTGGCACTTACAGCGCAATGCCCGTGATTGTCTGCTGGTATGCTATGAACTTAGGCGGCCATCGGCGACGCAGTGTAGGGACAGCATGGCAGATAGGGTTTGGAAACAGTGAGTGACCAAAAGTTCCAGTGGGCCAGGGCTAGCAGAGGATCTTCCATGCAGCTGACAACAATCTCTAGTCGGTGGGTTCATTTCAACCTATGCATTTCTAGCGAAAGATGCGCCTCTCTACCGCAATGGATACATCATCAGTCTGTCCTTCCAGTGCTTCTCGGCTGCCTGCTGCATTCTCTACTTCGCAGCGATCTGGGCTGCCAACAAGCGACGTGACCGGATTATGGCTAGGAACACCCAGTCGACACTCCTCGAAGACGAGGAAGAAATCGAGGGTGATCTGGCAGTGACGTACCGATACGCGTACTAAAACGATGGTCTTGACAAGCGGGAACTGCTTGTTGCAATCTGGGATAGACGTTTATCTGGCCATTTCAACCGACATCCACGAAGTAGACAGATAGGGCTAGGGCTTTGATTGACTATGGGAGTCCTGGAGAGCGGTCAAGCGAGGATATGGCCTTGCAGCATGATTGACCGAGCACAGCGTGGTTTTACTGATTATGAAGCATAACGAAGCACGAGTAACGAGGATCTCCATCACACACAATCGTACAATCGTAATTCGAGTAAATCTGTACTCTGTAGGCCTAACGAGAAGCCCACCGGTCACAGGATGCTGGGATATAGTCTACACCGGGCGGGAGTGTTGATGTCACGAGTGAAACTCAATGTGGTTCCCTGCGGTCTCGGTAAAGCAAAGGGTGGCCAGTGCGTAGCCAATCACAACCATCAGAGCACTAGCGAGCCCTTAGCGGCATTGGATGCTGAGTCAGCCACGGCGCACACAAGAAGCTCAACCGCGGCCGTTCTCCGTCTTTCTTGCAACCATCTCTTTCATCCTCGCAGAAGTGTGAGTATACTACCCCGGCCACCTATTGTTTGGCTTGGACAACAACTAACAACCATCTTCTAGTCCTATCTACGAAGATGAGAGCCAAGTGGAGAAAGAAGCGCGTCCGTCGCCTTAAGCGCAAGCGCAGAAAGATGCGTGCTCGCAGGTGAGTTCCAATTCGATAGTCATCATAATTCAATAGAAGAACCCGATGGCTAACATGTGTAATTGCAGCAAATAAATTACTCGCCCCCTCCATCTCAGCTCTTCATGTGAAGACTCAGGTTGAACGCTGAACACGACAATCCCCCAAAAAACAAGAATTGCAACGACGTCACGATGATGATTTAACCTCTTATGATCGTTCGTGGTTCCCTTCTGTCACCATTTCGAATCAAGGGCCCTGCCCCGGTTTTTCTCCTCTATTCGAATTCGGAATCCGCCGTTCAACAGATGGAACTTCGAAAATTCCGTTCCAATCCATCGGGTTCGCAAACGTCTTCGATTTCTCACGACGGCTTTTCTCGCGCTATTGTGGCCGGACAGGGGAAGGGATGCGTCTCGTCTGCGCGCATTTCTTCCGTCCTTGGAGATGGGCAAATGTGTTTGGTAGGGTTGGAGAGGGATCGGTTTTGATTTTGTACTTATCATCATACGCCGATGTCTTTGAGCTTCTATGGGGAACTGGTCAATATCTCATGTCTCGGGATTCTCTCTGGCAACAAACCAGCGGGAACCTCGGGTCGTGGAGAGGTTTCTTTGAGAATTTATTCCAATCACAAAAAGTTCAAACGCAATCGCTTTCGCTACTTCTACGTAAGACAAAAAACTAGAGTTGAACATCCAAAGTAAGCGCGATATAGTACCATTTGTCGTCGCAATGTGTCGATCTTGTGAAGATTGATTGACCACTTCATCCTGGTAGCTAGACAAATAGTGATGGACTAATTAATCATTTGTGTGTCCCCGTGATCTGCAATCGCGCCCTGCACCCGGTCTGCGTACAGCCAGGCTTGTCTCTCCGCCTTCCATTTCGAGGCCGACTGACCGCCTTCAACTTTTTTTCTGGGACTTTTTCTCCCTCCGATATATCAAAATCCACGCCGGTCGAACTACACGGAAGTCCGCTGCATTCGACCTGCCCCAGAGACTGATATTCTTGGAAATCTTCGCACAATGGTCTCCGACAAGGTCGAAAAAAAGCGCAAGCGCGCCTCCGATCGCCACGAGCGGCCTAGCAAGAAGCCCGCGCTGGAAATCCAAGATCTGCCCCCTCTGGCGTCGAGCGTGGTGGAGGATGATAGCGAACTCGCTCCGGTCATTGGTAAGTTACCCTTCAAACCACCCGCTCGACTTCTCGCCGGGGAAGAAGGTTCACTACCTCTATTAGACATGCTAATCAATCCACCATGGCCGGAAACAAAATAGTGACCACCCCCGGCCTTAACGCCCCCCGCAATCTCCGGCTCAAACCCTACCTGAAAACCCGAAGCAAGACCTCCTCCGCGTCGACGCGCAACAAGGGCATCGTCGCGTCGGAGCTGCTCCTCCAGTCGTCCGAACACCCCAAGCTGGACTTTGTGGGTCGCGAGGCCGAGGAGGATGCCGACTCCCAGCTGAAGCACTACGTCGCCGTGGTCGATCCCCAGGATAAGACGTGGCAGTTCGTCGAGGTGCGGAAGATGACGCTGCGGGGTGCGGTGCGGAAGCTGCGCTCCATCGATGAAGAGGAGGAGGAGGAGAGCGAGGAGGAAGAGCTGGTGAGTTTTTTTTTTCCCTGGTGGGCGATGGAAGCGGGGGGGATACATATCCCAGCACATAAAGGCCCCCCCCCCCGACCCCCACCACCTCAAACATTTTTTTCTGCAGGTAAAAACGACTAACAATAAATGTCAATTCCCAGCAAACCCTCCGCGCCCAACGCACCGAACTCACCAACACCTTCGGTACCAAGCAATCCCGCAAAGCGGCGCAATCCCTGGCCGAGAACGCGCAACTCTCCAACCTTCCCTCGGGTGCGGCGTCGGCGGCGGAATCGGCCATCCTGTCGTCGATGCCGACGGAGGGGGTCAGTGACATCGCGGCCAAGGCGGCGCAGGTGCAGGCGCAGGTGCAGGCCAACAAGCCGATCCCGACGCCGCACCTGGACGCCTCGCACCCGGGCGAGGTGTACCCGCTGGCGGAGCTGGTGCCGAACGGCGAGTCGACGCTGCGGCAGCTGCCGGGAGTGCAGGAGTGGATGGCGACGGCGAGCGCGGGCGAGCCGGTGGTCACGACCTCGCGGTACGTCTCGCGGCGCGTGGACGCGGTCATCCAGTCCGGCAACACCACCCACCTCCAGATCCTGCGCTTCATCCTGCTGCTCCTCGAGCTCAACCGCCACCTCAAGCGCGACCCCAAGGGCGCCGGCCCCGGCAGCAAACGCCTCCCGCCGCGCGACGAGCTCCGCACCATCCTCGCCGGCGGCACCTCCCCTTCTTCTGCTTCTGCATCATCCGCCGCGGAATCCATCGCCGACCCCATCATCGACGCCATCCGCCGCCGCTTCGCCCCGGGCACCGGCGGCTCCCTCGCCCGCAACGACGTCACCTTCCTCCACACCACCATCTGCGCCCTCTCGCTGCACATCCCGCCCCAGCCCGCCAAGGACGGCGGCAACAGCGCCCAGGGCGGCAACGCCCCCAACGAGCTGGCCACCGACCCCGCCGACCTGCGCGACGATCTCCACCTCGAGAGCCCCGTCATCCTACAGTACTTCCGCGAGCTGGGCTGCCGCGTCGACAAGCCCCGCGAGTCCGAGTTCGCCAAGTGGGGCATCAAGGGCGGCAAGGCCGAGGCCGCCGCTCGCCGCGTGGCGCGCCTGCGCATTCCCGTGGAGTTTCCCAAGGTGAGCCGCGGGGGTGGGAAGAGACGCTAGTGATCGAATCGAAGAAAGAGGCGTATGATTCGAACAGGGGCGTGATTAGAATGGTGGGATGGTGTGTATATGTGTGGGGGAGGGGTGTATGTTGAAGGAGTATGGAAGAGAGCCGTGGAATAACTACCATACCATAGCTGGTCAGATACTCTTGTTGTCCTCACAACAAAAAAAGCATTTCGTCTTTTTTTCCCCCTCGGGCTTGATTCCAACGGGCGTTAGGGTACATGTTATGTTTTGTGTATGTATGTATATTTGTATTTCGTTCGTCTGTATAGGTAGCAGTTAGTTAATCAGTAGCGAAGAAGAGAAGACTTGAATGTGTTATCATAGCGGATAATAGGTATTTCTAGCCATCGCTGCTTAGTCGTCCGTGTATTGGGGGGATATATATACCAAAAGCGGAGAGAGATCTATATACTCCGGGTTGTATCTATCTGCCACTCACCCAACTAAAAGCCCTGCCCTACCTTCGTGCGGAAGAAAATCCTCAATCTCGTTGAATCTGCATGCTTACTTCTGCTACAAGGACAGATACATAAACTAAGGGAGGAGGAAGACAGATGACAATTGTCAAGAATCTAGGACTTGAGCGATAGTCAATCCACAGGACGTAATTTCTTGGTACACGGCTATCAAAATCCTTGAGATTCCCAGTCTTCTAGTGTCCTAACCAAAACCCGCTAGTATATGGCCAGTTGGGGTGGTTTAGGGGCGGTAAAATCAAATATGATTGATGCCAGGAGATCCTCCAGCATTATATGAGGTGATGGAATTATTAACAAAAAAAGGAATGGACGTGGAACAAATGATTACACCATACATCCACAGGACTAGGTTTCTCTGAAACATGGTTGACGGGTTCATTTCTCGCAGACATGGATCTAGGCGGCGACGCCAACGGGGATGCCTGAGGCCACGGAAGCGGCAGGACGGATCCCGGCGGCGGCGGTCTGCATCCGCACAGAGGCCTGCGCGAGCAGCGCCTCAGCGGCCGCGTCCTGGAACTCCCGAGTGACGGCAGTCTCCAAGTCTTCACCCTCCTGCAGACCCAACTGGGCGTCCTCCCAGATAGGCTGGTTCGCGGCCTCGGCTCCTTCGACGCCAACGCCGACGAAGCCGCCCTGGGCCTTCCAGTGGCTGGCGCGCTTGATGCCCAAATCGTTCCAGACGGTTTGGAGAGCCTGGACCAGGTGGTCGCGGTGTTCCTTCACGTGGCCCGGAGTGGGGGTGATGCGGAGTCGCTCTTCACCCCGAGGGACGGTGGGGTAGTTGATGGCTTGGACGTAAATGCCATGTTCCTCCAGAAGCTTGTCCGAGGCTTGCTTGGCGACCTCGGCGTCGCCGACTAGGAGGGGGATGATGTGGGACGGGTTCGGGATCACGGGAATGTCCAACTCCTTCAGGGATTCCTTGACGGCCCGGGTGTGCAACTGCTGCAACACGCGGTCGCGTTTGTACTCGGCCTGGTACTGGATGGCAGTGTCCGCTCCGGCCATGGTGGCAGGAGGTAGGGAGGTGGTGAAGATGAACCCCGGGGCCAGCGAGCGGATGGTGTCCACCATGGCGGCGGAACCAGCAATGTATCCACCGACACAGCCGTACGCCTTACCCAGGGTACCAGTGATGATATCAATGCGGTCCATCACGGTGCCCTTGGTGCTGCGTGGGTTGGCGGTGTCCTGCGAGGCGTAGACGTCATAGTCGAGGTGCTCCGCGACACCCGCACCGTGGGGGCCGTACATGCCCACGGCGTGCACTTCATCCAAGAAAGTGATCGCCCCATACTTGTCGGCCAAGTCGCAAATCTTCTCGATGGGGGCAATCGAGCCGCACATGCTGTATACAGACTCGAAAGCGATGATCTTGGGAACATTCAGAGGCAAAGAGGCCAGCTTGGTCTCCAAGTCGACCAGATCATTGTGCTTGAACACCATCTTCTTGGCGCCGGAGTGGCGGATACCCTGGATCATGGAGGCGTGGTTGAGGCTGTCGGAGAGAATGACACAGTCGGGCATTTTACTACCCAGCGTCGCCAAGGTAGCGTCGTTGGCGACGAAGCAGGAACTGAAGACCAGAGCGGCCTCCTTGTTGTGCAACTTGGCGAGGGTGCCTTCAAGGGCTACCGCATGTTGGTTGTGTCCCGAAATGTTTCTCGTACCACCCGCACCTGCGCCGTAGGTGTCCAGTGTTTGGTGCATGCTCTTCAGAACCTCCTGGTTGCGGCCCATACCGAGATAGTCGTTGGAGCACCAGACGGTCACCTTCTCCTCCTGAGACGCGGTGTGGGCACGGGGGAACTCCTTGGCCAGACGGTTGATGTTGTTGAAGTAACGGTACGACTTGTCCTTGTGTTTCTTGTCCAGCTCCCCGTTGTAGAAAGCGTTGTAGTCGAAGGGCGCAACTTTCGGAGCATCGGGACGAGGACCGGTGACAGTGGCGCCGCTGGGGGCTTCGAAACGGCCTTTGGCACCGGGGAAAGCGGGATCGACTATAAAGCAATGGAGTCAGTATATGTACTTAAAGATGGGGGGGGACGAATTACCTCTCTGAGAGTCCTTGTAGACATTGGGCGCAATGTCCGCGCCATTGCCCGAGGTTGAATGCAAAGCCCGCTTGGTGGGAGCCGGGCGGAAGTACCTAGGATCCATACCGGCGACACCGGAGGTGAAGCGCTTGGTGTTGGCCAAACGGGCGCTCTGAACGGCCAGAGCCTTGCTCATGACGGGGCAGCGGCGGGCCAGAACCTGGAGGTTTGACATAGTGCCGCCTCCGGGGCTGACGCTGGGACGAGTGGCAGTGGACAGAGTGCGCAGAGTGGACGGGGAGGTGCGCTTGAGGAACGGGCACATGGCTCGAGACTGCTGGAGAAGCGACTCCATCGGGTGCGGTGCGGCCAAAGGGCGAAGATCACTCTCAATTGAATGAATAGAGGGAGGAAAGATCCCCTGGTTGAGATCGTTGGGGGGAGGGGTGGGGTGGGAATAGACTTGGGGTAAGGAAGGAGAGAAAGCAGAAGGAGAGATGGAACAGGGGAGAGGTGGAGTTGGATAAGTTTTAAGTAAGAGTGAGTCTTAAGTGGGAGGAGGAGGGGAGTAAGCCTGAGGGGGCAAAAGAAGATTCGACCGGCTGGGCAAAGGACGGGATTTGCGGTTCTGGTCCGCCGAGATGGGAAATCGGCCGCGACTTGGCGGCTTACTTAAGATGGAACGCGCTGACTGGGCCGCGGCTGACGATTGTACGGGATCTGATTGGCTCCCGCGTCCGGTTCGGAGAGGGAAAGTCGGAAGATGACTAAGAACTAATGTCTGTGTAATTCGATTAGCATGTAAATGGTCTCGGCATGGTCACGGCACGGTCACGGCCCGGTCACGGGATTTACACAGTACTACTCCGTCGGCTACTTTTCCTCCACGCTCGGCGCATTTGATTCCCTTCTTGGTCACATACATACAGTACTGTACATAGTAAATTACTGAGACCTTCCACTCCTGATCACCACGGAGCAAGCAAAGGTACAGTGCAAATCTCGAAGGGATAAATTTGAGTAATCAGCAAGAAGATCAAAAGTCAACAGTCAACAGTCCAGTCACTGTTCCACCCTCCTAGTTGCCCCACATGCACTCCACTCCATCCTCGGAACAATAACAGATCTATCATGCCATCGCCGCTCTCATCTTCGGTCTGGCTTTTTTTTTTTTTGTTTTTGTAGAAGTCCATTCAACCATCCAATTCTTTTTTGTCTCGCGTAATCTTACCCAAATTCCCGCCCTCTGCTCATTATCTCCAGGGAATAACAGCCCCGTGCAAATATTTTCATACACCACCAAATGCATCTTGTTAATACAATACATAGTTCGGACAGGAAAATCCGTAACTGGGGTGAAAAGAAGCATAAAAAACAAACAACAAAGAGAGCCACGATCCGGTGTAAAAATCCCAATAAGTGTGTAAAGCTTCAACAACATCACAGGTGAATAAGAAAAGAAAGGAAGGTAGTAGATATCCCAACGCCGTCATTCCATCTCATCGTGCAACAGTCCTCGGAGGCTGGGTTAGCTGGGTCCGAGGCCCCCATCGCCGTCAATGAGACGCAGCCGCTCTTTCGTCGTCTTCGCCCGTTTCGACGTGCCTTTGCCAGTCCCGCGTCCACGTCCTCGCTTGGGAATGGGCGTGGCCGAGGGCGTCCCAATATTATCTGCTGCGGACACCGGAGTGGCAGCGCCAGAGGGTTTGGCACTGGCATCATCAAAGTTGCCCTCGCCTAGGAAAGCTTGCGTTAGTCAATGGTTAGAGAATTGGATCGCAGAACGCCATACCTTCATGATACATATCATCCAGCGTGATATCTCTCTTTCTTTTCTGAGCCGCCTTCTTCCCACCTTTACTGGCACCAAACACCTCTCCACGGTCCATGGCTTCCTTTTCCTTCTGTTCGATAAGCTCGGCCTGCTCATCGTCCGCCAGCCACATAGCAATGTCCTTGGTCCGACTTTCCCGATTGCGCGTGTTGAAGTCAACTCCACCAGCGGCACCACCCGTGATGACAACGCGCTGCACCTCTTCCTTCTGCAAAGCCCGCTTCCGAATCCGCTCCTCGATCGTGCCACGAGTGATGAGGCGGTAGACCGTGACTTGCCTCGTCTGACCCAAACGGTGAGCTCGGTCCATGGCCTGAGAGTCAATGGTAGGGTTCCAGTCCGAATCGTAGAAGATGACCGTGTCGGCGGCTGTGAGGTTGATTCCCAGACCACCCGCACGCGTGGATAGAAGGAATACGAAAATCTCCGGACGCTGTTGGAAGTCCGCCACAGTGTCACGACGATCCTCCAGCTTGGTGCTTCCATCCAATCGACAATATTTGTAATTGCGGTAGGTCAGGTACTCCTCCATCAGGTCGATCATACGTGTCATCTGGAAGTACAGTAGCACACGATGGCCACCGGCCTTGAGCTCGCGCAACAGTTCGTCTAGCTTGGCCAGTTTACCCGAGTCCGTGACGAAGCGACGCATCGACGGTACCTCAATATGCGTGTATCGGCCCTTGGTGGAAAGTGGCTTGGGTAGCATGGGCTGCAGCGAGTAGGGTGCAGGGTCCAGCTTTCTTTCCACAATTTGCTGCTCCACCTGCTTCGAGGCAACGCCGTACAAAGCATGGCGCACGGCAATATTAAAGAAGCTGTCTCTGGCCTCATATATGGGAATTTGGCTAGAACTCGTGATGGTTATTGGAGGCGCCGACGCTGCGGGGGTGGCAGATGGCTCAATCAGGGAAAGACCCTCTCGCTCAAATGTTGACTGGGAAATGGTCATCAAATCCCGCATGTAGCCCTCAGCTGCAACCTCGTTCATGGCATGACGATCGTTGCGGTCGACAACATTGAGCAATGCATGAGGAAGGACTGAGGCGGCTGTTCGGTCATCGTCGTAAACAACCTTGAGCCGGGCCAGCCTGTTTGTTTGTCCACGGCGGCGGACAGCCCGCTCGAAGACACCGGAATGTGACTGCTCGTAGGCCTCACCCGGGGATGTATCCACAAATCGCAGGAAAGAAAATGCCCCGTTGTCCCGAACACTCTGCTTGATATTATCAGGAGCGAAGATGTTCATCATGTGGTTAAGATACTTCCCACGGAAGCCGGCGTACGCATTCTCAGGCCCCGCAACATCGACGCGACCAGCAGATCCACAGAGCAGACGTGGCAACGGATACTCAATCAGGTTACGGGTGGAGTAAGCGACATCGACGTTCTGGCCTTCTCTGACAAACGAGGCGGTTTCAGCGAAGTGCGCGACAGAGAATGGTGATTTTGTTTCCGCGCGCTCAAACAAATCCGGGTGGTTGCAGACCTTCCGGAACTGCATGACCAAATTCATCAGCGTTGTGCTGTCTGCTTCGTCTCCAACAGCGGCCTTCTCGATTAGGTCCATGATGCTGACCCGGTTGCGCAGGTTGGTATAGTAAGCGCGTTGACGGTACGTAAGGTCGCAAAAGATGTCCTTCTCAACCTTGTCCCCAAGTTCCTGCTGCACATGCTTCTTGACACGGCGAAGCATAAAAGGCTTCAGAATCATATGGAGACGTCTCAGCTGGTCCTCGTTGAGTTTGGTGTTACTCTGAGCGTGGGATTCAATGTCCTTGGAGAACCATTCGCTAAACTCATCGTGAGAGTCGAAAAGCGTGGGCATGATAAAGTGCAAAAGGGCCCACAGCTCCTGCATGTTGTTCTGAATAGGAGTACCTGTCAGGAGAAGACGGTTACGGCAGGAGAAGCCGAGCAAGTTTTTCCAACGGGAACTCTGAGAAGACTTGATGGCCTGGGCTTCGTCGAGAATCATGTACTGCCACTTGACCTTTTGGAAGTACTGCGCATCCAGAACCACCAGCTGATATGAGGTGACCAACACATGGAACTCAGACTCTTTTGTATATGTGATGTGCTTTCGATCCCAGAACTTACGGAGGATCTTGCGATCTTTGGCTGAGCCCCAGTACGGAAGAACCTTGATGTCCGGGACGAACTTGGTGATTTCCTGCTGCCAGTTGTGCAGCGTAGAAGCTGGCGCAATGACTAAGAAAGGACCCCAGATATTGTGGACTTCAGCGAGGTAAGCCATGACTGAGATAGACTGAATAGTCTTTCCTAGACCCATCTCGTCGGCCAAGATACCGTTGATACCTTGCTCGTACAGGTTGACAAGCCAGTTAAGACCCTTGAGCTGATACTCCTTGAGCTTAGCGGTAAGCATGTTGGGCTGAGAGATCTCGATATCACCCAAGCTGGTGGGGTTCTGGAAATTCAGTTCACCCTCATCCAACGCATCCATCTGATTCTGGTCGTTGTTGAAGGCACGGGCTCGATCTTGAGCCTGCTGAACGGCATTTTGAGCGTTGGCCATGGCCGCCTGTCGCAAGGCCGTCTCGTCCTCGGCATCAAAGTCAAGATCTTCGAAGTTGGTAACCTTGGCACCAAGGTCGGCGACACTGGGAGGCATATCCACCGTGTGGGCTTGAGGTTTCCCAGGCTGGACAGTCTGGTCGGATCCATCCACGGCCGTGTCCCCAGACTCGTCTCCTTCTGCACCTTTGATCTTGCGGCCAATAAAGTGGGAGTACAGCTCGGTCTGGGAGATAAGGAAGTTGAGCTTACGTCTCTGACGGTTGGCTTCACGCTCGGCTTCCGCCTTCTTAGCCGACTCGATTTCCTGCTTTTCGGCAAGACGACGCAAATCACGTTCCTCACGTTCGTTGCGCTTCCAGAAGGACATCATTTCACGCATTGTCCGTTTGGCACGGGCTTGAGTATCTTTCATGCTCTTGTTGGTGCGTTCCTGCCACTTGCGAGATTGCTTGCTAGCCAGCTGGGCTGTCTTGCGGAGATTTTCCTGGCGCGTGCTGAGAGACAGACCCTTGATGCGGTAGACCTTGGGGATGTCTTTACGAGCAATATCGCGCCAGATTTGCTCGTAAATCTGGTTGTAGCCCTTGGTCTCGAAGGCGGAGAGTGGCGTGGGCGTGGGCTCCTTGGATCGAGTGCCTTTGGTCTCCTTCTTGATGGACTCCTTACGAGGGTCTTCCTTGGGTGCCAGAGGCAATGCCTCATCGTTCTCCATGGCTGCATAAGCTGCTTCTGCCGCGTCCTTTTCAGCTTGTTTCTGCTCCTTCGACTTTTTGGGTCGCGTGGCGGGGCCATTGCGTCCAGACTTGCGTCTCGAAGGAGAGTTTCGACCGATGTGGAAAGAACTGGTGGTGCCCCCTTCAAGGTTTGGCGCCAAGGGAGTCACCTCGCTAATCTCCTCCGGGGCAGTAACACCCTCCAGAGCTCTCTTGGTAGTCTTGATCTTGCGCTGAGCTCTCTCGGCTTCACGGAGGAACTTGGCCTTCTCAGCAGAATCCTGGGCCTCATTTGCCTTGAGCTCTGCCTCCAGCTTTTTCTGCATTTCCATGCGTACAGTATTCTCACGTCGCCGCTTTCGCTGCATATCCTTCTTGCGTTCTTTCTCGTCCTGGATTTCTTTAGCCTGTACTTCAGCGATAACGGATGCCTCATTGGTGAGTCTGAATCGATCCATTCCGGCATCGGCTTGCTTCTCCAGGGACTTTGCGAAATCTCCCAAGAATTGGTGACGTCGTCGCTAAAGGTAGGTTAGCCTGCAAAGTACCCAGGGATGAACGCATATTTCACAAACCTTGCGCCGAATCAGCTCAGTTTGCTCGGTGAGAAGGGCACGCTTCTTGCTTTTGGCCTTGTATTCCTGGTACTGTCTCTCATACCCAGGGCCTTCCACATCACTTTTGTCTGCGTTGGCCATATCAACCATCGCGCGGTTGAGAGCTTCCACCTCCCCTTCTGTCAAGGGATGGCGAGAAACAGCGCCGCGGGACGACGAAGAGGCTTTCGTTGACTCAGAAAGGCCATTCGCAACGGTGGCAGACCGTGAGTCGGACACTCTGGCCTCGTGGTCGACATTGCGACGGCGCTTCTCACTAGCGGGTTTCTTTTCTAATCTCGGTAAGGCCGGACCAGAGGGCTCTCTGTCTTTGCTTTTGTTGCGAGCGACCGGGACGGGCGTCGTCGACGGTGGGTTTAAATTGTTCGTCGCGCTTGATGCTGGTGCAATGGGGGTTGATGCGGGTTCAAGGGACGGCTGTTTTGTAGGTGGAGATTGTCGGGGAGGCGGGTTGCGCTCTTCTGCTGGTCCAGCCAAGATGCTCGCAAACGACATGGGATCTGGTTTCTGGAGGCCACAAGAAAAATGATCATGATCAGCTATTGTGGATCAAAGAACATGCAGGAGAGGAAAAAACAACAACATACGGTTTCCTTGGGAGGAGAAGAATGCCTCGTCTCTCGCATCATAGAAGATGGATACGGCGCGACTCCGTGGCCCCCCATGGGGTAAGGAGATTCTGGTTCTTTTTTGGGAGAAATCTGCGAATGGCTGTCGGGCCGACCAGAGGGATGAGCGTGGGAGGGAGTAGAATGACCGTAGGGGGTCGCGCCGTTGCCCGACAAGACGGAATTAGAGTAGGGCCGAGGCAGGGGGAACTGCGGCGTTCCAGCCGAGGAATGAGCCTGATACTGTGATGATGTATCTGATGGATGGGATGAAGGAGCGGCTCCATTCAACGGAGGCAGCGTGGCCGGTAACGGAGACGGCGCATGGGAGAAGTGAGGGCTCCTGGCCATGCTGGGCTGAGGGGGGAAGGCCGGCGGCGTCTGCGGCGGGTGCTGTTGATATTGGTCATTGTTGTTGGGGTAGAAGGGGCGGTTCTTGCTCGGAGAAGAATATGCAGAATAACGAGATTGCTGGGTAGGAGACTGAGGATTGTACGGCGGAGCTCCCGTCATGATTGCCGCGTGTGCCGGAGGAGTAGACGCGGCGGCGAAGGTGACGGACAGCAGTGATGGGGAGGGGAGAGGATGAGGAGATTTAGACCAAGGACCGTCGCAATGGACGAAGGCTGGCCATGCGCGAAGGGGATGGGAAGGGAGGTGGTCTTGGAGAGGTTTTAGCTCACGGAGATCTCGAGGTGAAGGGCGATCACGCGTCCGTCCGTTAGGTGTTCGCCGTCCAGCTAGAGTTCCCTGCGTGAAAAGGAATTAAATCTGAGTGGCCGAGTTGGGGGGAGGAGTGGAGACAAGAGGACAGGGAAGCATGGAGATGGAGACGACGATGGAGGGGGGGGTTGGGATGATGAAGAAGATGATGATGATTGAAAAGGAAAAGAAGGATGAAGAAAATGAGTGGATAAAGGGAGGATTGATTGCCTTACCGGATGAACAGGAATCTATCGGCGGTTGTTGGTGGAGGAGGAGGGTTTCTTGGTGAGGGAGGGAGGGAGGGAACAAGAGGAGTGAGCGAGCGAGCGAGCCAACAAACCCTCACGGATCAACCGTCCCAGACGACAGAAGCCAACTGTGAATTCACAAGTGAATAGATTACCAGAACCAGTTGAGCAATGATGCTAGGGTTGCGGTTTTGAGGGATCAAGACCAGCTGCAACGAGCCGTGGAGGAGACCCACGAGGGGCGAAATCTCGCCAGTTTGTTCCCGTGGTAGGAGGCTTTGTGGTGATAGCCGTCTAGATAGTAAGATAGAAGGACTGGTGGAGGAGTTGTTGGTGGTGGTGGTGGTGGTGGTGCATGTATTGTCTGTATGTCTATAGAGGTGTTTATAAAGGAGTGAACTAAGGCAGTGAATGAAGGGGGAGGAGAAAGGGAAGAGGCTGTTGTGGTGGAAGATTGCAACAATAGCCTTTCTCTGACTCTCTTTTTTCAGCTTCATTGAGCCAAAGGCTCGTCTCCAGAGAGTGACTGAGGGAGGGAGGGAGTGACTGCTCGTTCCTGCCTATTCGGGCGGATTTCCCTTCCATACCCGCCGGCTGTGGCTGTTCGGGTGTCAGTATGCGTCAGTATGCGTCCGTATGTGTATTTCACTTACGTGGGTTTACATACCACTAGTAATTAGTTTCATCCTGTGGGGAAGACAGCTCAGGAACTACGCCCGATCTCCGCATACGCCGTTATCTACGATATATGATTGAGATTGAGATGGAAGTCAGTCTGATCTAGAGCCATTGGGCGCGTTTGGAAATCTGTCTCCAGCGCACTCCACTGTGACAAGAGCCTCGTTGTTCAAGTAGAACAGAACGTTTCGAGGTTGAGTCTTGCCATCCAGCTCCGGTCTCGCCAGTGTCCATCGCACCGGAGCCATTGTAAGAAAATGCGGTCGTGTTACCAGTACGAAACCGCCCAGACGTTCACCTCAAGTTCCTCGATACCGTGCATTGTACACTTAGGCTCGATCAATTGTATAGTACAAGTACTCCGGACCGAGCCAAGTATGATATGAAGTCAGGTGGCTGCCCAGGAGGTCCTCAATCAGTCGCCAGTCAAGGTATATAAGTTCATACAGAATAAGTTCAATGGGCCTACTTAACTTATAGGAGGATATTACCTCTTATCTTGGTCCACCTTCCCCAGGCCCCCATTCAGTCGGGCCTGAGGCACCACAGGCACCACTGGCACCACTGGCACCCCTGACTAAGCGTGAAATCCGAACAACCCGCTCGGACTTAAGTCTTGGACATCTTCCAAAAGAAGGGGGGGTGCATACCACGATTCCCCCGCGGTGTTTCTCCCAAGAGCCGAAATCTTGAACTTGATAACAAGAGCCAAGCAGCGTGGGGGAGAGATCCAACTTAGGCGAAGACCACGAACGGAGGGGGGAGGGAGGGGAGGAAAAATTGGACCTAATGCAATATCGGGGTCTGATAATGTTCTCAGTCGCAGTTGAGATGCGGAGACAAATCTCGATCAATCGGTCATGACGTCTACATGTTCCACCTTCGTTTTTTCCCCCCATCAACCCCATATCCCATGTGTTTGAACTGGACCAGAAAGAAACAAAAAAGATGATTGACAATCCGAAACCAGCATGGAGCATGAAATCTGTTGCAATGCAACCACCGAGTATCGCCAGAAGGAGAGAGTCGGGACAGGACAGGAGATCCCCGAAATGTCCTCGTATCGCCCCTGTCTCTCTGGGATGAGCAAGACCACAAGGATCGGGATCCCAGATTTACAACCTCCGCATCCGTGTTGCTCCTCTCGTCCGATTGTCTAGACTTGCCCTGCCAGTCAACAACACACCACTAATCACGACGTCACTTTGATCGCTCGCTTCGGCCGGGACGGAATCACCCCACCTGCCATTCATTCACTGACCTGCCTGTCCTACTCCCAAACCATGAGGAACCACGAGTAGAAAAGTGGATGGTCAGGTTGTTGCGCAGGGTCCAGGGTCTCATCGCCTGTGGTCTCTAGCAATCCTATAAATCCTGTCCTTCCGCGCTCTCTTTCCCCTCTCACTCACTCACTCACTCACTCACTCACTCAGTCAAGTAACACAACTTCCGCTTCCACGTTTCCATAGAATCGTTACCACCCCCTTCCTCTTCATCCACTACCATCCCCAACTCACAACCTCTCACAGAAGAAATGTCTTCCCCTCCCGAGATCCCCGAGACCCAATGGGCCCAGGTCGTCGAAGAGAAAGGCCACCCGCCCGTCTACAAGCAGATCCCCGTGGGCAAGCCCGGCCCGGACCAGATCCTCGTCAAGATCCGCTTCACGGGGGTCTGCCACACCGACCTGCACGCCATGAAGGGCGACTGGCCGCTGCCCCTGAAGCAGCCGCTGGTGGGCGGCCACGAGGGCGCCGGCATCGTCGTGGCCCGCGGCGACCTCGTCACCGAGTTCGAGATCGGCGACCACGCCGGCATCAAGTGGCTGAACGGCTCGTGCCTGGCCTGTGAGTTCTGCAAGCAGGCCGACGAGCCCCTCTGCCCGCACGCCGAGCTGTCCGGCTACACCGTCGACGGCACCTTCCAGCAGTACGCCCTGGCCAAGGCCAGCCACGCCTCCAAGCTGCCCAAGGAGGTGGCCCTGGACGCTGTGGCCCCGATCCTCTGCGCCGGCATCACGGTCTACAAGGGCCTGAAGGAGTCCGGCGTGCGGCCCGGCCAGACCGTTGCCATTGTCGGGGCCGGCGGTGGCCTCGGCTCGCTGGCGTTGCAGTATGCGAAGGCCATGGGACTGCGCACCATCGCGATCGACGGCGGAGAGGAGAAAAAGGAGATGTGCCACAAGCTGGGCTCGGAGGTAAGACAAGAAAACCTCCGTCCCGTATTATCTTTTCTGAAGGAAGAGAAATAGCTAACGAGAAGAAAACCCCTAGGCGTACATCGACTTCACCACCTCCAGCGACATCGTCGCCGACGTCAAGGCCGCCACCCCGGAGGGTCTTGGAGCTCACGCCGTCATCCTCCTGGCCGTGGCCGAGAAGCCCTTCCAGCAGGCGACCGAGTACGTGCGCTCGCGCGGCAGTGTCGTCGCCATCGGCCTGCCCGGCAACGCCTTCCTGCGGGCCCCCGTCTTCAATACCGTCGTCCGCATGGTCAACATCAAGGGCAGCTACGTCGGCAACCGCCAGGATGGCGTCGAGGCCGTCGACTTCTTCGCCCGCGGGCTTATCAACGCCCCCTTCAAGACGGCGCCATTGAAGGACCTTCCAAAGATCTTCGAGTTGATGGGTATGTTCTGTTACCTCTCTGTCTCTTGCTTTTCGAATGTGCATTCGACAGACGTCATGACTAACACACTGTGTCCTCCAAAACAGAACAAGGCAAGATCGCTGGCCGCTATGTCCTCGAAGTGCCCGAATAAATGCATTTTCTCGATACACGCCTTTCTCGCTGGACCGGGATAGTATCTGTTTTACGAAGGTGACGATGATGAGACATCTTTTCCCTTATCTTCTGTTTGTCTCTTAATTTCTAAACCGTCCTCTCTTCCCATTGCTAAATACATGGGTGTCAATGGGGTGCCCTACGATGTAATGTACCACAGCGTTTGCCAATCAATTCTCCAATCAAATGATTCTCTGGTCTCTTGAACCGGCTTACAGTATCTTGATCCTTGCGTCTTAACGGTACCTTGTGCGATAACCAAACGAGCCAAGCAGAGGCGTTCAATTGGAGTCCCTGCTAAGCACAAAAGCGAGAGATCTCTCGGGAAACGAGTTACAAGTCATTAAAAGAAAGGTGCTCAAGCAGTGTTGCCCTTCTTCTTCTTCTCTTCTCCCTCCCCTTCCTGCGAAAGCCTCGTCTCGGACGGACTAGTCGACTCTCCCACGGTCGTCTGCGGGCCCTTGTACACCTTGCGAGCATAGACCGCATAGTAAAGCAGCGCCCCGAGCCACAGTGCACCGTTGATAACAATGGTGTAATTCATATTTGCAGCTGATTTTGCAAAATTTACGCAGTAACAAAGTCAGCCCAGAATCCATCCACAGCCCCGCCAAGATAAACGGAAGAAACTTACGGGTCGGGTTTGGTCCTTCGGTAGGAAACATGCTCAGCACGATAGCAAAAGCCAGATACACGATCGCGGTGATTGCGATGGGCTTGCTCAGCCGGCCTGTGTAGAACTCTCCGGGGTGGAACCGGTCCTGGCCCCAGACGAGCCGCGCGAGAATCGGGACCATCCAGGCGAGGTCATTGCCCGCCACGGCGAGAGAGAACAGTGCACTGGCCGCGGCGTTGTCGATCAGACAGAGCAGACCGAGGATGATGGCTATCACGACCACGGCGCAGACCATGCGGACGGGTTGAAACCGGATGCGTTTACTGACGTGGCGGAAGAAGGAGGAGAAGGGGAGGGCGCCGTCGCGAGAGAAGGCCCAGCTCTGACGGGAGGCGGCGACCACCTGTTTGTGAGATTCCGCGATATGGTGTCAGTGAAATGTGCTCGTATCGTTGTCGCAGTATTGGAAGAGACCGAGTAAACCTACAAGACTCAAGCCCATGAAGAACTGGACAACGGCTACCACAACCATGAAGCCGAGCGCGCCGCTTTTCCCGAGAGAGTCATAGTAGATCTATAGGAAGCAGTCGCTTAATATCGGCCTCGATTGACAGAATAAATAGGGAAACCCACCTGTGCCATGGGTTGTCCGAACTTGGAGTCGAGGACCGCCGTGAGATCGACGTCGATCACAGCTGCCATTACTGCCAGCGAGACAAATCCCAGCAGACCACACAGACCCGCGGACCAGACAATCCCCAGTGGGACCGCTCGCGCAGCATGGGTGGCCTCCTCACTCATATGGACACAGGAGTCAAACGCCCCGATGGTCCAGATGGGCGACATCCACGCGATCATGAAGCTCCAGCCCTCAGGCCAAGTGGTGAGATTCTCAGCATGGCCGAAGACATAGGCACCCGGGTTGATCTGCCCGCCGCGGACTGCCTTCCCAATCGGCAGTGCCAGAGCAGTGACAAAGACCAGGCCCACGTTGAGGATGATGCAGACAGACTGGATTTTGGGCATCACGCGCGCAAAGAAGATGGCAATCAGGCCGTGCACGACGACGCATGCGACATACGTACCGTAAAGGGCCGGACGGGAAGCAGTCCACTCGCCATCGCGCGCTATGGAAACAATCGCCAGCAGCATGGTAGCAAACCCATCTTATCCTCCAAATCAGTCCCAGGCCGAAGCATGCCACGAGGATGAAGGGTACCGCTTACAATCTATAGAACAGACCCCTCCAACAAGCCCGATTGTATTGCTGTATCCAACGACAAAGCTTAGGGGATTCTTCCACTTCTCTCCGCTGAAGTAATGGGTCCAGAAGTAAAGACCGCCGGCGGTAGGCATCGCAGACGCTAGATCGGCCTAACTGACACAGAGTTGTAAACGTCCGACCAGAGTAATGGGGACAAAAGAAGCTGAGAGAGACAGACCATAGCCAAAGCCACTATGAAGATGAACACACTCGCAGCAAACCAACCTAGAATCCCTGTCAGACCATTGCCTAGCGCACATCACACTGAACTCTCAAGAGACACCGTACCCTGCGGTGCATTAGCCACAAGCCTCATCTAGTCCGTGTAAGCAGAGCAACGTACCCAAACCATGCCCACAGGTCCAGCAGGGATGGAATACGATAAGGTCGATGCGATGGACGGCAAGAGTCCCATGATACTGAATGCAATTGCGAAGACCTGTACAGTCGAATAGTGTCTGCGCAGCTCCTGCTTGTATCCCAGGGCCGCTGGTCTTGTCAGCATAGACACACGAGACACACGATAAGCCAGCGTACCTAGAAGCTGCATATCGCCGTGTTCCAGCGAGGGCTCCTCGCTCACTGCTGGTATAACCTGAGACATGGAGTCCATGTCTTGGGACTTCTCCGCCATGGTGACAGGATTCTGGACGTCAACCCAGCAAATGAAAGGACTATACTTTCGAATGGTCGACAGCGCAAAAGGAAAGCGCAACGCTACTTATACCAACCGACCCTTGCATATTGCATCACTTCATCAATCGTTGTTTTATTCTCCGATAAGCAACGACCGGCGGGGGACCATTCACTTCCGCCCAGACTCTAATGGCGCATGCGACACGGACAGGCAGGGTTCAGCCATAGCCGCCACCACCATCACCAAGCGGTTGTTATCATCACCTTATCGCTGGGAGGCCGAACAGGGCAGAAAGTGGCCAATGTGAAAGCCAGTTGGACTGATAAGCTGCCGTGTGGTGCTTTTATAGTGCCTCTTGAAAGAGTAAAGTCAACGAGGGGGAAGCGGAGGAGGAGGAAGTGAAAGAGACGAAAGAGAAAGGGTAGATGAGACTTAGGGGTATCATATCGCACATGATAATTGGCCCCCCCCCCCCATCCACCACTTCACGCTTCTAGGCTGGAATTGATCTAATTATGACCCAAGTTCATCAGCCAACAACCGGTCGGTATTACAATTGGTTCACCACTGAGTCTAGGCTAATGGTTCGAACATTCTTGAAATTCAACTAGTAGGAAGTGGTATCTAGGTAGGAAGTAGCAGTAGTTGTAGTAGAAGGCGACTGTCCCATCTACCAAGTCTCCGTCTCCGTCTCCTTTCGCGTAATGATAGCTGGAGGCCTCCCCGGGGTAACCAGACCCAGCCCAGATATGCCAATGGGGAAAAGGAAATGGAGGGCAAACAAAATCAAACCGAAGAGGCACGAATGAATCACAAACACACACCGGTAGACCGCACCCAATATATAGCACATGTATACAGGTGACGCCAAAACCAATGGCAATAGCGGCAGCTATGCATAAACTCGCTTCATTCAAACTGCACCGGGCCCCTTGTGATTGGACTGATCTAGTAGGAGTCGGGGTTTGATGTAATCCTCATCCAGCTGTCGGAACCACGCCGCGTGGTCTCCCGATGCACCCGAGAAGAGGTCCCGGATGGCCGCCCTTGCGCTCAGCGTTGTTTCGCGTCGCATAGGAGAGGTAGTTGTCGGAGTTTGATCCTGGGATCCTCCCACATACTGTTGGGGTTGCGAGGGAGACCGCCGCAGTCGAGACGTAGGAGCCGAAGGGGGGAGGTCGTCATCCGAAGGCTCATCACCCACATCGAGATCGAAGGCATCGAGCTGATCGGCGTCTGTCGCACGACCCTTGCCATTATTCTTCAATCCAAATTCATCCTCACTTGCCGCGCTGCTCTCGCTGTGGCTCCGAGGCCGGCCACCCAACAAAGTGGCCGTCGAGGAACGGTCACGAGCAGTGTCTCGCTGACTGTAGGCATTCGAGTACATTCGGGAATGTCCTCGAGAGCCAGACGGCGGAGGACTGGGACGACGGTTGTTGCCACTGGAGTAGCTATCGTGGCGGTCGAGCTCGCCCCGCGGAATGCCATCCAAAGGAATGGTCGAATCGATGCGGCGAGGTGTGTATCCCAAGCCTGTGTCGGAGCGTTTGTAATATGTGCCGCCGTTGGTTACCTCGATATCAAACTCATCATCGGACTCGATTTCCTCCACGACACCGGTCCGGATTCCGAGAATCTCTAGCATTCGAGCGGTGGTGCCACCAAAGATAATCACGGTCAACACGACGACCACAAGTACCGTAGCACGGAGTGCTGGAGCATTGACGCCTTTTAGGCCGGCGGCGAGGGCCACGCCAACAGCTCCACGCAACCCCGCCCAGAAGAGCATGGCTTGATAAGCAAATGGTAGCTCATCTGCAACGTCCATGCCACGGCGACGAGCTCTGTACCGAATGAACCAATTGATCGCTCGAGACAATGGGAACACCGCCAGGTAGCGGGCAATGCAGATACCGAAAACGGCCACAAGAATGAATAAGGGCTTGAACTGCAAGTTCCTCTGGACAAGAAGGTCCAAACCGAGGTAAATGAAGATGAAGTTCTCGGACAATTGTGCCATCACCTGGAAGAGGTATTTCGTCGTCAATTGTGTCCGGCGGGACATGTTGTAGTACGCATAATGTTTCATGGTAATGCCGCAGAAAAGGAGCGACACGATACCTGGTCTATTGTCAGCTGGACTCGAGATCAATGAGGAACGGCAACCTACCGGAGAGGTAGACACCGTTAGAGAAGAAGTAGCTAGCGTAGGCAATAAGCACGATCAGACAACTTTCAATCTTCGGCTGACGTCTGACGTGAGTATATTTCAGACCAAGGGCGGTCATGATGCCAACGATAACGCCAACAATCATACTTCCGAAGAAGACGAGCAGGAACAGTCCAATAGCTTCGAATAGGTTCAAGAAAGTCAGGGAGCCTGCCTCACTATCGGCATACTTTTGCGCGGTCTCGAACAGGACGATCGCGATGGCGTCGTTCAGGATCGATTCACCAAAGATGACCGTGTAGAGCTTGGGCTCGACCTTGTATAGGTTGAAGATAGCCAAGATGGTGACGGGATCCGTCGCCGATAAGGTAGCGCCCACCGAGATTGCCTCGACGAAAGTCATATCTAGCCCATCCAACGGAATTCTCGTCCAGACGAACAGGATCAAACCCAGCACGATGGCGGAAATGAAGGTCCCCGCGAACGCAAAGGTCAATATAGTGCCGATGTTTCGGAAGAAGTTCGCTTGGTGTAACTCGTAGCCTGAGGCCAGAATGATCGGAGGTAGGAGGAGGTTGAAGAAGAATTGATAGTCAAACGCGACACTGTCTTGAATCGGTGATTCAGGACTTAAGCGTATGATCAGCCCGACAAACATGCCTATATGCATCCATCAGCCTTTGTTATTAACCGCAAGGACACCGCATCGCGGCCCGTCCGCCTTCGATGGTTGGACAAAACACACCCGCGAAGATGGACAGGACTGTTTCATGGACCGCCTGGATCTTTTTCTGCTGTAGTATGTAACTGGTGAAGAGCGCGAACATCAAGAGCATAATCAAGATGAAGAGTGCCCAGGAGCTGAAGAACTCCTTGGTGCCGGCCTCGGGAGCATCAGCTGAAGAGTAGGCATGTCAGTTTCAAGAGCTCGAGATACAGTGTGTGGCCCTTGTGAGCAGGATCGGATCGCGTACCATCGTCGGGATCTGTGTCAGAGTCCACCGCTCTACCTAGGATACATAAATTCTAGTCAGCCATCGTGCCTAGGATGGGCGCGCCTGAGATGGGGAAAACGCTCTTCCGCGGAAGGGGGAATGCAATCCCCCGATCTAGACGCAATCAAATAAGGGACACATACGGAGCAACTGGTGCAATACATCGCCTACCACTTGACTAGCCATTGTACTTGGCGATTTGGCTTGTCGACGCGCACGACGGCGGACGGACGATTAACCCCAACGGCGAGTGTCTGGCGCCAGAGTGGAATCGCAGACACACATAATCATCCGCGGATCATGCACGATCCAACGGGAGGGAAGTAGTCGGTGAGAATGGAAGTAAAAAAACCGAGACGAGAGAAAAAAAGGGAAAAGACAAAGAAAAAAGTCGATTTGAAGAAAAAGAAGGAGGAGGAGGAGGAGAAGAAGAAGTCGTTGTACGATAAGGATTAGTTAGAATAGTTAAGGATGGAGGAGATTAAATTAGTAAGTGGAAGAAGACAGACAACGATAACTGGTGTTGTTGCTGTTGCTGCTAAGTGACTGCGGGCGGGCACTCAATCAGTCAGTCAGTCAATCAATCAATCAATCACACAAGGGGGGAAGCTACGCAAGTAACTCCGCTAGGATTCGTCAACACCCGTCGGGGTCCCGCTGTTGGTGGGTGGTATGGATGTGTTCGGCCCGCAATTGATCCTCCGCTGGTATGTATGGAACGGTCTCCTCTCTATCTTATTCTCTAGCCCTTTCGATGTGATGATATGTTCAACGTCTCAAGTATTATCAATGAGCGCTGACACCTAATTTCTAAATGGTTCTTGATGTTCTCTGACTAGCTCGGGCTGACTACTTACATACCTGACTAATTACACTCTACTCTTATCGAAGACACTCTTCCCCGAGTCCTCTTCGGCATCTGGTAAAAGCGCCATTTGCTCCTACTATAAGGCATACACTCACCGAGTTTCCTCAGCGAGCCTGTGAGCCAACCATGCCGCAACTAGCGTCGCGCAGCCTCCAAATCTCAGCACCCATCCAACACTATCATCCCACGGCTCCCCGCGAGGTTTCTGGAAGGCCTTGAAGATGGCACTGGAGATCAGACTTGAGAGGATCTGAGGCGCCGACACGGCAACGTTATGAAGTCCCAGGATAATGCCCGCCTGCGCCAGATTCTCCTCCTCTTCTCCTTTATCAGTTGTCACATCGTGTCCGTGTTCTAGGTCTTCCCCAACTGTAGCCGGATTGGCGGAGACGCTTGTGTCCGGTTCCGTACGGTCAGCCCGCTGGCGTCGAAGCCGGCGCTCCGTGTCAATGCGCGATACCTCCGCCGAGATTAGGGCAAAGGGCGCCCAAAGCGTCAACGCCCATGAGACTCCAACAAGCCCGACAACCACGGTCGCGGCTTGGTATGACGATATGAAAAACGTACTGAACATACAGATGGCGAAGTTGACATGCGACATTAACCAAGCGCGGCGGAGGGTGAGGCCTGGAATCTGTAATTTGGAGAGCCACCCGGCCCCTTCGGCATACCCATTTTTAGGTTCAGGAGAGATACCGGTAGGTGCTTCCATCGCAGTCCCTATTGAGGATGATCGCCTCCGACCGCCGAGGAAAGGCTCCTCCTCCAATTGATCATCCGAAACTTCAGACTCGGTGGCAATGATCGGCTTGTATGTGGGCACAACAAGCATCGGCAGGGTCAGATTAGCCACAAAGGAGATGATGGCGTAAACAAGAAGTGCAAATGTTCCAATGCGGGTGGCTTCTTCCCATGCCTTGTTGATGTCATGCTCTGACAAACCTGGGTGTGCTTCGAAAATCGGATTGACAAAAAGCTGTCCAATGTATGTGGTCGAGTAAAACAGGAAAGGAAACCAGCCGACCCAGGCGGCTAGCTGGACCTCGCAGACCTTTGCTATCTCGGGCGGTAGAAATCGGATCGACTTGAAGACCTGCTTGAAGAAGGCGATCAAGCCAGGGTTCCCCCCGGATGGAGGTCCTTCCAGTCGTGGATCTCGTTCTCTGATGTATGAACAACTGACCAACAATGTACAGATAAGTGATAGTGATGCTAAAGCGCACAGCACTTGAAATTGCGTGTTGCCCAATAATGGGAAGTACTTGGGCAAGTCCACGTATCCAAAAATATAACCAAGGATGTTGCCTAGACCAGTCATGCGACTGGCCCACGCATTCGCTGATTCCTGCTGGTGCGAGGGCGCATTGTCAACAATGAAGCACCGGATACCTGCTTGGACTGTAGCCAAAATCCCGTCAGCATTCTCTGCGATCAAGCCACAAGAGGGCAACATCTGGCCAGGCCTTACCAGTATTTACAGAAAAGTCCAAGCAATACATCAAGATAGTGGCTAGCACAATAACCACAGTTTGAGACGCATCGGAGCCCGGCGCAACATCGAATACTCCAAGAAGGCCTTCCGTGAGCTCTCGGACCCAAGCTAAGGCAAGGAGGGAGACAACGCTCGCAGCACCGCCAACCACCATGAACGGCTTTCGCTTCCCCCATGATATGCGACAGTTGTCACTGCAGATGCCGATGTAGGGTTGAACGAGGGTTCCTGTCAAAGGACCGGCGATCCAAACGAAAGCAAGTAGAGCTTTGCTCATTCCAAGAGACAAAAGATAGGGCTACAGTCACGCCCCGGAGATTAGTCCAAGCAGGATCATGCGACAGGACCTTGCGAGCTTACCGATCCATTGGATAGCTCAGTAGACCATACGACCTGAAGACTGAGACAGTGGATATAGTTATCAGCTTTCCGGCTGCTGTGGGAAGCAGACTCATGCTTCCAAATGGAGGAGTTTTAGTGCTCACCCGCCGATACTCAAGGTCAACAAGAACAAATACCAGCTGCTCTTGGTTTCCGAAAGATCGGGAGTATCTCCCGATCCAGTAGTTGCACTTGATTCTCCGGAGTGCGTCATTGAAGTCACTTCATTCCTGTCAGCTGCTCCCACCAAAGGGGACGTTTCATTGGCAAACCGATGATGTGCTTCCGGCATTGAAATAATGTTCTCAAAGGTGTTCCCTCAAGGATAAGCTGGCAGAGGCTACTTTGAGCTGATGTGCTTAGGCTATAGTCCAGTCCGTTTGTAATCTTCTAAAGATGACCAGGGTATCAACCGTTGAGGTAGAGGCGACCACGCTTCGTATGGACGAAGTGGGAAGACAGTGCCTGTCAGAGGTGATACAGCCGAGCGCGTCGAAGCAGCCGGAGGGAGAAAGTTAAAGCCAAGTCACTGCGTCTAGATGATTTCCTTGCTCCAGGCTCAAGCAAGTGTAGCTCTAAACGAGGTCGGACGGAGGCTATAGAGGCAACGCGGGTTGGAGCAGGCAGAACCAGAATATTTACTGAAGTGGAGTTTTAAATGCAAATGATTCAGTCCTGATACTGATCCATGACTGCATGAGACTGTCGAGGATATCTAAATAATGAGAGCCAGCTCCAAGGATAAGGAGATGAGATGATGATGAACAGCAAGCATGTCATGTGTCCCGTCGCGCCTCGCTTCTTCTTGGTAAGGTTGGGTCGACGTCAGCAGGCCAGACACGTGACTGAGCCACGATTTGTTCCCGTTTAGTCCGGGGAAAAGCAATCCATCCATTCATGAAACAGATTGTGGATGGAGCCTACGGGGTGCTTGAAGGTCGTCTGACTGGGCCAAATTTCATTACCATTGGATTCATATCTATATGCATGTATTTCGCCGGAACACTCCTGCCAGTCACAAGTTCCACCTTCTCCTTTCCCATTTATGGCGACTCCATGTTTCGGGTCCAGGATACCCGGGCTTTTCAGCCCAAACGCGCCGGATTGGTCGCCCGATAAACCTCCCATAGTTAAAGCCTCTTGGAGCTGGGAACCCAATTTTGTCTTAACCTGCGTCTTCAAGGCGGCCATTCCCACCTCCCCTTATTTGATCGAAATGCAGGCAAAGGAAGTGACAGGATCATGAGAAAAGATGTCAAAGAGAAAGGGGATAGGGGGAAAAAAAGAAAAAAAAATGATACAAGAGATTCCCATTATCAACATAACACATGAGGAAGAAACAGAACCAGAGACCGAACCGAAGCGCAGAGGACAGGGGGGGAAAGAAAAGAAAAAGAAAACGGATTGTGATGGGAATCTACCAGCGTAGTCCACAATCGCAAATGTCGATGTCGCTTATTAGGGATAAGTAAATCCAGCGCGATCGTGAAAATCAGACACAGGGAAGCTGTTGCTCGTCCATGCCAGGGTATTGCCAGGGTATCGCTGTGACTGTCGAACAAATGACAGGCCTAAAGACAAAAAGCCACTACAGTGGCCAGAAATAGTTCGAGGAATATCTCTGGGACGTGGCATGATCAATGAGGGTCTACCAGGTCAAACATAAATATGATAGGTCATCCAGAAGCAGGCAGTATGAACATAGGACCCGCATGAGCCAGGTCCGAAAGAAGGCGGCATAATATGACGGAAGATCAAGGTATGTGATCCGCAGAGTATATGCGTTATAAAAAACGTTGATATAGTTCACGCAATTCGGAAGAATATCAAGCTCCTCAGATCTGTTGTTGCAAGAGTTGGGGCGCGATCATATGAGGAGCCATCATGGTGGGCATAGAAGCCGGCAAGGTCATTGCAGATGGCATTGCGGTCACACTAGGGACGACAGCACTTGGCATCGAGTCGGACGGCGAGGATCCCTCGTCTTGGGAGCCGAATCCGTTCTCCTCGTTCTCAAGGTCATCATCCGGAACAGAAACTGGCGGCTGACCATCTTGCTGAGCCTCATGAATACGACGGTGTCTGATTTACAATCTTAGTCAACTATAATACTAGAATAACATACTAGGAAGACTTACTGTGCAAGGTTGTCCGACCGGGAAAAGGCCTTGTTGCAGTAGGGGCAAGGATAAGGTCGCTCTTGAGTGTGAGTCCTCACATGTCTAAGCATCACATGTCAGTAAGTGGCTACAGGAGCCGTGCTGGCAGATAGCCGTAGCGGACAGGATAACCAGACAAAAGATGGTCACTAACCTTTTCAGATGTTCTAATCTCTTGAACAGCCGTCCACATGATGGGATCGGACAAGAGTGCGATTTCTGTGGATAGGGGCCAAGTTCCATCATGGTAGCGCTCCGAGCCCGGCGAACAGGCCCAGGGGCATATCGTTCGACTTTGCTTCCCGCACTATGCTGGGCGGGAATGTCGAGCGACTCGCCATCTGGAAGAGGAGCAAGTTCATCTGTACCATTCGTGGGATGAATGACATGCGACTCGGAAGTTTCATCTAAGCTCGACAAGGGAGTGCTATGGCGCGACATCTCATGCAACAAGTTCTTCTGAGGAAGATGCGCCGCACGATAACCATTGAGGGACCGATGGATGTCGTGATGCGAATCATCTGCTGCCTCTGGAATAGGGGCCACGGAGCTGGACACAGACCGCCGAAGGTCACTTGGCCGATGGGCGGCATAAGTGACAGCTTGGGGTTGCGGGGCCGTCACCTGCGGGTGCATAGTAGCAGCAGCACTGGTGACGCCTGGAGGGATAGAGGAGCGGCGCCGACGCTGCTTGTATGTCGGTGAGCCCTCTAGCATGGAATAGACATTTGAGGGAAAGGATCTAGCCGGGGTCGGGAAGTGAGCACTTGTGAAATTCGAAGGAGGAAGCTGCATCATCGGATGGAAAGGTGCTGCCGAGGAGATATCGGGGATAGCAGTGTAGAGACCGGTATCTTCGTTGGCGATATAGGCTGGTTCGGCGCCAAGGTGACCGTGCTGCGGAGGCGTTACTGGTTCAAACGATAGACCCCGATTGGAATAATCCTCGTACTGCGAGGACACGAAGGACGGAGCCGGGGAGTATTCGACGAAGGTTGGCATTGAGGCATGACGCTGGTGGATGCGAGCAATCGGCATTCCGTTGCGATCGTACTGGATCTGCCCATACTCTGCTTCACGCTTAATGACGTTTTGGGCTAAAGTCGTAGGCATGGGGATCGGGTTGTACATCGCCGGGTTGCCGGACTCGTCCGGGAGAAGGGGTAGCGCCGGGGGAGCCATTTGGGGAGCCATCTGAGGAGGAGGCATAGCGTCAACGGTCCGAACCACTGGGGATGCAGGTTGGCCATATGTCGTACTTGCGTGAGCAGCAAACGATGATGAATTTGCTTGTTGTGCCTTTGTGAGCTGTTCATACAAGGACTGCGATGAATCAAACTCGAAAGACAGAGCAGGCTCGCTGACTGCAACTGTGGTCGCCTCCTGGCCCATCTTCTCGCGCTTCAAATCACGCTCCAACGCATCGAGGAAAAGGCGGTCGTGAGGCACGCTGTACCAATAGAATACCTTTTGTTTCTTCTGAGTGCGAATGCAGTTGTTCTTGTACAGGAAGTCGAGGAATGGGCTCTTGGGTTCTTCGAGCGTGGCATCAGTTCCGGCCTTGAGGTTCCGCAAATCCGAGAAGATACCCTCCTCAAACTTCTTCGAGTTCTTGACCGGGCGACCGAAGGCTTGGAATCGAAAGGCCAGACATCTCACGATATCCGTGCCTGAGATATGAAAGAGGTTGTTCCTGTCACCAATCAGCGTGTGCGCCCTTCTCTACCAATTGTTTCTTCTATTCCAAACTAACCAGAGAACACATGATATGTAGTCGCCTGTCGGGAGCAGGAACCTGCGAATGAGTTGATCCGTATGCCAGTCTACGGGCGCTGAGAGAAGGAAATATTTGACTGGGGAGAGGCGGCACAATGTCAGCTTCTAGAGTGGCAATTGGGGAGGGGAAGCCCGGGATAATGTTGCAGTGGCATGATATAGAACTTACGATTGTCAACCTGCTGCAGTGCGACTTGCGCATCATGAGGAAGGCTTCGCTGGGCTTCGTTTGAGAGCATGAATGTCTCCGGCTTCTGGGGAGGCGCCATAGGGGCACCATGTTGAGGATACATTGTGAATGTGATACAGTGGTCTGGTGAGAATTCCATCAGCCCGAGTCGACATGCGAAGTTTGTATGCATGTGCGCAAACAAAGAATCATGGTGGACGGGATGTTAAACATAGCTACCGTTAGGCCGAACAAGGAAGACGCACCGCCAAATGAACCTGATCAAAGAAAAAGCGGAAGGACCGCACGCAATCACCAAAGGTGACTTTGCCGCTAGAGAGAGAGAAAAGGACCCGGAGATGTGGATTGATATTGTGGGTAGTTTGGATGTATGTCGACGATAAATCGTGAAACAAGTGAGATCCAAACACGCGATCTGAAGAAAAGAGTACCGGCCTCTTGAGTAAGATGTGTGTTGTTCTTGTTGTTCTTGTTGTTGTTGTCGTCGTCGATTAGGCGCTGACGTTGCCGGCCCCTCGTCCAAACGGGTAAGAAAAGGGCGAAGAGAAAAAGAGAGCAATGGAGAGTTGAACTGGGCCAGCCCGATTACAAGTCTCTTAGAATAACTCGCACGGCGAAGGGGGGGGGTGATATGGAGAAATGAAACGAAAGGAGGTGAAAAGAAGAAAGAGGCAAGTCGTGATGGGAGGAAGAGAGGGGGAGGGGAAAGGAAGAAGAAGAGGAAGAGGGAGATGAGAGTTGAGGTAGGACTTGCTTTTTTACAGTGGTGTG